TTTGAAGGATTTGCACTTAAATCAAATTCCTAATTTCATGCATTTTGATCTTTTTTTACACAAATAACAAAATTATGTAACTTTTAATAAAATTATATTTAAGTATTTAACTTATTATTCAAATATTAATAAAATCCAACGTTAAATAGTAAACTAAAACATATAAAATTATGCAAAGTATAAAATCAAATCTTAAATATTCACTTGTCCCAAAAATATTTTTATTACTCAATTTGAAATCCTATAAAGTACTACAACTAAAATAGTGAAGCTATACATAAAATTCATTTAATAAAGTGAAAAATCACATTTTTAATGTTCAATTAGAAATCTCTAAAAATAAAGAAAGAATGTTTAATTAACTACATACACATAACTCACATCAAGAAAAAAAAAAAAAAAGGAACATCATTGTAATAGAAAAAAAGGTAAATAAGAGATGCTTGTCTTCTTTTTATTGTTATACACATAGCCATACAAATATCATCCAAAGTCATCATTAGTCCATGATGTTTGTGCAACCACATTTACATCACACTCACAAATCATACCCATATCCTTCACAGTTTCATCACTTTAATTATATCAATTCATAGGATTTCAAATTGAGTATCAAAGATATTTGAGACGAGTGGGTATTAAAGACTTGATTTTATACTTTGATTATATAATTTTATATGTTTTAGTTTACTATTTCATACTTGATTTTATTAATATTTGAACAAGTTAAATATTTAAATGTAATTTTATTAAAAAATACATAATTTTTATTATTTGTCAAAAAAGGATTGAAATGCATGAAATTTAAAATTTTGGGATTTAAGTGCATATCTTTCAAAAGTTTGGTAACTTAATTGTAATAAAAAAGTTCAAATTAGGATTAAATTGAATAAATTTAAATTTTAAGGATCAAAGTGCACAAGAATTAAAGTCAAGGTGCCCACTATATTATTTTACCGTTAAAATTTGAAAGATTTGAAGGTAGGAATAATGGAGGAATAACGGTTGGTTCTTTCTCAAAAGTCAAGGGATCATTATAAAGTAGAAGGATAACAATGACTCCTTTTGCAAAGTTGGAGGATTTTTAGTAACATTAAGCCATTTTAGTTTTGGTTTTAAGTAATCTTTAAACTTTATAAAAACTAAAACTAAACCCCAACCACACGAAAAGTAGCCTGCAGCAGGGTTCACAGCAATTATTTCACATCAAACATAGACTGACATTAAAAAATGATGAGGTGAAACCAAAAACGTCATATGAACTATATCGGTTGTATAGACAAAAAGGTAATTAGATGGAAAACACAATAGGTGAGTTCAGAAGGACTACCTGGTACCAGATGGAAGTAGCAATCACAGGAATAAAAACAATGAAGACCTGCCATGCAGCTTGAGACATCATTGCGATGATTCCAAGCAGTCGGATCAATGTGAAGGCGGTACCCCCAAATCGATCTGGAATTCTCAAGTCCACTGCACTTTGATCCGTAGAAACCTGTAAGTGGAGGAAGTCAATTTAAATAAATTAAATGAGAGCATTTGGAACTTGGAATGTTTCACAAAGACATACAGTCCACAAATTATGCCACAAAGAATTACATGCTTACCCTGTTTAGTATACGCCCACTTGGGGTGGCATCAAAGAAAGACATGGGGGCACGGAAAATGCAGTAATGCATTTTATTGAACAATAGATTGGCCGTTTTGTATCCAGCTGTATAAAGAAACATGCCCCTGGCAAGGACGCACAAAGAACTTCCAAAGGCCAAAGCTACATAGACCATTATTAATGTAGAGTTCCCAACTGCAGGCTTGACATCTGTTGAGGCAGGAGTTGCCCAGGCCAACCACCAATTGCCACTGATCTGAAGAAGCTGAAACAGAATCTGTGCCAGCACTACAAAGGGAAATAGAGCTCCTCCATATGCAGTTGTAATGTACTTCCAGTAGATTGAAAACCCAACACGCCCTTTCTCTCGCTCTTCTTCTTGAACAAGTTGTCCTTTAGACCCAACAATGTCATCAGTTTTACCATTTTGAATACTTTCAATTTCTTCTATTCCACTCACAACATCATCTTTGCTCATACTTGCTTCTGAAGAAACAGATACCACCTCAACTGTATCAAGGGCTAACAAAGCCTTCTCATGTGCGCCTACAAGTTCCATAAAATCAGTTCCTTGACAAAGAATTTCATCATATTTTCCAGCTTGAGTAATCCTTCCATCTTTCATGACCTAACACATAAAGTTGCAGTGGGTACCCAATCTATTTTAGTTCATGATATCAAAAGCATGAAAAACAAGAAAATAAAATTTTACTCACCAAGATTAAATCAGCAGCAGACAAGAACTCAACTTGATGAGTAACATAAATAACAGTTTTCGATTTCAAGATGCCCAACAAAACTTCCTATCATTCAAAGATTAAGAGAGATATGGTGAGGCAAAGCAACCGTGTAGAGCAAAGGCAAAAATTTTTACCCCACAGAGAGAGAGAGAAGAAGAAGAAGAAGAAAAAGATATTGAACCAAATATGATATGGTTGCAAATTGCAATACTTTTATATTGACTTACCTATGAATATAGCAGTTAAGTTTTATGCATAGATTAAGAGCTAAGTGTAAACGAAGGTGTAACTAAGAACACCTGCGAGGATGTTACCTTAAAAAGGTGAGATCCAGTATGAGCATCCACAGCACTAAAAGGATCATCAAACAAATAGATATCAGCATCTTGGTAGAGAGAACGTGCAATCTGTATTCTCTGCTTTTGCCCTCCACTCAAATTGATTCCTCTCTCACCAATGACTGTCTGATCACCAAATGGGAGGATTTCAAGGTCTTTTTTGAGGGAACAAGCTTCAAGCACCATCTCATACCTTTGCCTGTCCATCCCCTTACCAAACAATATGTTCTCTTGAATGCTACCACTCTGTATCCAAGGTGACTGGGCAACATAGGCCTTCAAACCACACAACTTTACAGTCCCAGTTATTTTGGGAATTTCACCCAAAATACAGGCAAGGAAACTTGACTTGCCAGAGCCAACAATACCAGAAACTGCAACCCTCATACCATGGTGCACTTTTAAATTTATATCTTTCAGAGTGACATTTGTAGTAGATAAATCCCAGGAGAAATTCCCATCAACAATCTCAATGGCTATATCAGAAGTACCTCTTGGAAGCCTCTCTACTACATTAGAATGCAAGTCATCCAGACAAAAGAAAGATGCAATTCTATTAAGAGAAACCTTTGTTTGAACAATCACTGAAATCGTTTCAGGAAGACTATTGATAGACCCTTGAAGAATATTGAATGTAGCAATTGCAGATATGATCTTTCCGGACACAAGTGGGATTCCCAGAAGCATACAACCACCAAAGGTGGCCACCGATACAAAAATCGGTGCTGCCCAAAATAGAAACCTGGTCACAGTAGAGGTGTAAACATACTTCTTTAACCATCCTGTCTCTACATTCCTGAGCTCAAAAATCCTTGACAGAAACTTCATTTCCCAGCCTTGAAGCTTAAGAATTCTCATATTCCTTAATATCTCCAATGTTGCCTTCATCCTTTTATCTTTTGATTCCATCATCTTCTCCTGAAACTTCTCCTCTAACTTCCCAAAAGGAAAATTTGCTAACATAAGGAGTACAGTCACAATAAAAGCTGCAACTGAAGCTATTCCAAGATTTCTATACAAGATAAACAATGACAAAGCAACTTGCAGAATGACCTTCCACGGATCATGAATGTACCAACTAGAGTTACCAACCCTTTCCGCATCAATTGTCATGAAATTGATAATTTCCCCACTAGTGTGGTTCTGCATCGATTGGCATGAGAGGGTCAAACCCTTGTTGTAAATCATTGTCACCAGTACTACTCTAATTCTGATTCCAATTCGCCGCAACCTAAAATACAAGTGCCTTTGAGACAAGCACTCTACAAGTTTTGCAGAAAATAATGTTGTAACTAAAAGATACCCCTCATTTTTAAACTCCTGCCGCCCATCGAAGTATTGAACAAGAGTGTCAATGAGATATGGACCGACATATGAAGCAACAGTTTCCAAAAGTGTCAAAAAAGCTGTCCAGAGAAACTCTTTCCATACTAGAAGGAACAACACCTTTACCAGCTTTAGTGTGGTCACCCCACTACCAACACCACCAGCAGACTTGAGCATATTTCCAAAATTTGGAAAACACTTAACCACACTGTCATGGCTATCCAGTTGAGGAACATCCTCACTGTCTAAACTCTTCTTCCTATTGCCTAGCGTGATTAAAGACCCCATCCAAGAGAATGTAAGAATGCTAAAACTACTTGCATTTGAGAAAGGGGTTACATAGTCACCTTCTCCGGACTTGTTTGACTCTAGACTGGAATCTACATCCAAAAGGGGTTCCTTAAGAAGGGTGCCTTTGCCCCTATTTCTGTTCAGAAAACACACAAAACAGATAGGCAAACCGGTGATAAAAGAGAAAATATCAGACACTAAATACTGACTTGGTAAGGAGGTGTGCATTTTGGTATGAACAATGTCTATGACAAGACAATAACAAGAAATCAACAGATAAAACCACCAGATGATACTCAAGAAAAATGGGAAATTCTGTTCACCAGAAGCAGAGAATTTGGTTTGTACGTAAAGAGAAATTGCACCCCAAGCAAGTGTTTTCAGCACTAAATCAGAAAGCATCACGAGTTCATCTAAGAACCAACCATTCCTAAGCCCATAGAAATAGCTGAACAAACACAGAGCGGCATTAAACCCAGAAACAGCTAAACAACAGAACAAGGTGATCTGTTTATGCCACAAAACCCACCTGTCCTTAACCTTGTCTTTCAACTCCTTAACATAACCTCCCTCAACCCTCTTAAACACAAAAAAGGCAAACAACAAAAGTAACAAAACTAGATGGAATGAACCGGAAATCCCATGAGCAAAAATTGGGTCAAGGAGGAACATCAGGGAATGTGAGTGAGAGAGTAGAGTGCGCATACTCCACCCCAAACCTTGCAGAAGCAAAAAGGTGTTCAATAAAAGGGGTGGAGGAGTGTTGGAAGTCCAAACATTAAAAAAAAAAAAAGGGAAACTGGAATTTCATAATAGGATTTTTTTTAATGCGATTTGAACTGACGTTTCAATAAACTTTAGTGCTGATCTTGAATTGGTAAAAAATCTGAGAAGGAAACCGACGGAAATCTCTAT